CATCCAGGACTGACCATGTAAGTTCATTGTCGCATCAGCATGAGTGGAAGCAGAGTAAGTTATCTGATGATACTGCTTTTGTGAGACTAGCAAAACAGGATGTTCATCATGTAACACCTCTGTGTGTGCAGCTCACACCTTTATCAGATTTTAGGTTTTCCCCTCTAAAGGGACTGGTGACAATACAGATCATTTGTGTTTAGGCATATTTCTTTGAGCACTGGAAGTTTCAGCCTTTGGTTGAATTGGGTGTATTAAAGCTAAAGGATTACATTCAGAGACCCATAGAATCACAGAATGGTGTTTGTTGAAAGAGACCTTAAAGACCATCCTGTTCCAACCTCCCTGCCACAGGCAGGGACACCTTCCGCTAGACCAGGTTGCTCCAAGCGCCATCCAACCTGGCCTTGAGCACTGCCAGGGATGGGGCAGCCACAGCTTCTCTGGGCAACCTGTGCCAGGGTCTTACTACTCTCGTAGTGAAGATTTTTTTCCTATGTCTAATTCTAGTGTTGTTAATCCATTATTTATATGTGCACCAATTCTGTATGTTTTGAAGATCTCCTGGTCTCACTCAGCATGTAAGCTATCTGTAGACCTCTGATTTTTTTCTTGTGATTCGGTTGTACCGTACTTACTTTGTCCATGATTTCTGTTTCTTTTTAGCAGTAAGAGAGAAAGTAGATTTGGTTTGTATCACACAATAAAGATTCCTAATTTGGAGTGAGGAAAGGGGAAGCTAAACAAAACCAGACTAACTAACACATTATCTTATTGCTAAGAATGCCTCAGTGTAGGGTAGAGGTAAGAAAAATGCAACTTTCTACTCCTAAGAGTAAGGTTACATTTGGGGGTAGAAGACAAATACAGCTGAGGAGTCAGAGATCAATACAGTGTGACCTTGTAGTCACATGGTGCCCAGGTTAACTCTGTTGCTATCATGAACAGCAGGGTATAATCACACATGGTAAGGGGAGGTGAACAGTAAAGTGTGTGCTGAAGTAAATAGTGTTAAAAATGCAGGCCAGTTATTAAGAAGTTTAGAAGGACTCTGTTAGCAGTTGAATTTCATCTCCTTTTACTGGCCAGAGTAGAGGCATGTGAAGTTACGCAAATAAGGGAGAGGGGGGAGGAGGAGCAGTCCTAGGTTTATACATCCGCTCCTAAATGTCCCTTAGGAATAGTGTCCCCCTGCTTAGTATAGTTATGTGCAAGCTTCAGACCAATGCTCAGTTATGTCCAAAAAAACACCCCAAACTTAATATTCTTTAAAATATATTAAAATACATGATATATGAAATAATAAAGATAATTTGTAAATTAATATTAATTTTAAATATTATTTTCTTTATGTTCTGTTAAGACTGCAAAGCATCTCTTAAAAAAGAAGACAAGAATCTTGTTATTGCTGCTCTTTAAAGCAGTGGTGTGCCTACATACTGAATGCTCTGTGCTGTGTCTCCTTCATTTGTGAAAACAGATGATGAAGTAGCAAAGGGGTAGTAGAAGGTGATAAAGACCTGACATGAGTGATCTCTGTGCAAGCAACAGTTAGCCTCCAGATTCTTCTGCCTAGGAAGGGGATGGTATCTGAGGATTGTTCATGTCTCATCCAATGCAGAAATGGGTGTGGAGGCAGGAGAAAGTGTAACTTGGAGCTAGTCAGTTATGAGTCTAAAAGCAGCAGAAAGATGATGAGGCACCCCATTCTGGTCTGATACAGTATGGCCATTCTTACGTTTTTGTTTAAAATAAACAAACCCCACACCCGTATACATTTCCAAGAGTGCAGAATGGATTGTTACAGGTTTCTTGATCCTGCACAAGAACTGTAGAATAGATGACACAGTGCTACAGTTTTAACCCTGACCTTTAAAGCAGAATCCAGCTTTTTCAGAATAATTAAAGTATGGTAACTCTGAACACAGTTAGAAGTGATCTTAGAGTTTTTTGTGAAATTCAGAGGTGTTTGATTTCTAGCTTTATACAAATAGCAGGAAATATCTGGATTTCAAAGTACTTGACTTTCAAGAAGTTGAACTGTCTCTGCTGGCAAGTGAGACTTCTTTTGCTGCAAGGACCTTCAGGGAACCTCACTTGCCTATGTAGTTTTTCTGGGGTTCGGTGACAATTTAGAGTGAGGGAAGGAAGAGAGCAGATTCTTTAATTAAACACTACTAATCCCAAGTTGTGATATCTTAATGTGTTGGCTCTTTTGATAAACTTTACCCTTAAGGCACTTAGAGGATAGAAGGCAGGAAGTGTAAGGGGAAAAAATGAGAAATCATTAGGCCTGGTCTGTAGGAAACAATCGTACTGTCTAAAGCTTCAGACTCGATGGAGGTTGAGCATGTTGTACTATGGCCAAACCACAGTATGCTGCCTGGTATCTTTGGTATTTGTGTATGCAGTTTAAGACTGTGCTGAAAGAAACGCTGAGGTTAGGGTTTAACATTTCCCTGTCAGTCTTGGCTGTTCCCCTTCAAATACATGCACTAAGACACAGTGTTTACTGTTGTTTTCATAAAAGTCTGATTAATGCTTAGGGTAGTTTTATATTAAGACTCCCTTTTAATTTCATCTTTTGAACCTGTATTGATTCTTGCATGGGCTCTTCATCTCCAAGTTCTAGTGTTTGTTGGTCTTTGCACCTTCAGACATGTAGCTACATGATCCGAAAGGCACAGAGAAATGAACTGCATTTCATTACTGTGTTTATGTGGTAGAGGAAAATTTCAATTCAAAATGGCTTTATTTTGGAAGAACTGTTTTTTCTGCTTTCTGCAGCACTTTTGGTCCCTACTTCTCATTTCTCAGATTGCCAAAGTCAAATAATGTCGTCCTGTGTGTCCTGCACTGCTGCTCGTGGCCTGTCATTCCTGTGCAAGGCTGCCATCCGCTGTTGATCTTTACATGTCACCTCCTGATCACTCTGTTGTGGTTATCTGAATGGAGAAGGCTTTTCTTACTTACATACATGTTAATTACTGTAGTCAACCCCCCTTCATTTGACCTTCCCTTGGCTGCTCAGTTTTCTTGACGTGCCTGTGTTGATTTGGGCTTACAGGAGCACAGGGAGTGTTCGGTACAAGGCATGCTAACATAAGTTATGGTCTCTCAGTATGGAGACAAGGAGCTAGGGAGGAGGTAGGTTGGAGATCTATAGTCATGAATATCATGGAGAGGGTGGGTAGTGATTGATCTGTACCTCTCGATAGACGAACTGTGAGGTTTGTGAATCTGGTAGGAGGACGGAGGCTACTTGTTGAGCTATGGGTTTCACACTTGGGAATTCTTGCTGGAGGGTGTTGTTGAGTGTCAGAAGTTTATGGGTAGTAAAGGGACAAACACAGCCTTGTGGGGGAAAAAGCTGGTTATGGTTACTAAACACAGAGAATCACTTTGGCTCAGGATGTCTTGGCATAGCAAACTTTAGGAACTTGAAAGGAAGTCCTTAGGAGGTTTTTGTGTGTATTTTCCAAATCCTTTGTCTTCTTCCCTGTGCATCTGCTTCGGGTTCCTTTTGGAGGCATGATACTGCCTTGGCAAGCTGGATTGGGCCCAGCAGTGTGCTGTTATTCTCTTAGTAGAACATAGCAATAAAATAATTTAGGCTTTTAAGCGTCACCAGGCATGCTGCTTCTTCTGAATCCCTCTTTAGCATTTTATCTGAATTCTTCTTATAACTCAAGTCCAACAGACTTGATCTGGGTTCCTGTTAGAGAAATCTTCAGGTCCAAAGTTGCTGTTTTGGTGGTTTTTTGATGTATAAGAAATTTCTTCTGTTGCAGTGTAAACGACAACATTCTAGATGCATGTTGCTGCTGTCCTTTTTGTAGCAATATAGTGCGTGGTTACTGTAGGCATGGGTTTGGGTCTTCTTCAGCATAGCACGATTTTATAGCGTATGCTATATAGTTAGCACATACTAAAGTGGTAGCATACGCTAAAGACAGAACAGAAATGCAACACTGTTCTCCCAGACAGATGTTGGTCCATGCGTACTCCTTATCCCAGGGATTGTGGATCTGTCGGAGTTTGAGGAATGATGAAGTAGATACCAGGCGTTCAGAAGCAGCTCATCACAAAATGTGAAGGATAAAATGGAATGGAACAATGTGTTTGAGCATGTTGTGTGATACTGGAGAATCCCCAGTGCATTCATGTTGTCCTTTTTTACTACCTAAATATATTTGAGTGTTTTTCCTCCACATGTCCATTTTAAGGTGAGTGTCCATCTTGAGAACTTTTGTCTGCCTTGTCATTCTAATCAATGCATATTTCTTGGCACTTTGCTCATGCATTATGCTACAGATGTTAAAAAAGCACCAACAAAACAACACACAACAGTTCACAACCAGCAAAAAAATCCCCACCAAAACCCCAAACCAAACACACCCACCCCCTTCAAGCTAACAAACCCCAAACCAAACAAAACCCAGGGCAGAACAAACTGCAGTTTACCTTTCCTCTTTTCTTATGGGAACTGCAATTTCCGTCCTCAGCAAAATTGCAGTTATTCTTGTTTAAGCTCATTCCTGATTTGGACTTGAGATAGATTTTACATCTTTCACTGAGATAGACTGAACTTGAGATAGACTTTACATCTTTCTTCTTCCTAGCTTCATCAGTAAAGGGACCCTTCTGCGTCTGGTTGTTCAGGCTTTAATATCGGGATTGTGAATTATTCCAATAGATCTCATATGACTAATGTAATTTCTATAACTTTTCCAAATACCTGCCACCTTGTCTCTTCTCTCTGCACTCAGACTGTTTGTCTTCAGAATGTGTAACTCTGGCCCAGAAAGATCATTTCTTAGATGTTTACCGCTTCTCAGATAATAGCTGGAAAGAATCAGCAGTGAGAGCTTGGAAATCTACATAGTGGTTTTGTTTGGTTTTTTTTTTTTGTTGTTTTTTTTTTTGTTTTTTTATTTTTAATGAGCAGGTACCTGACTATTGAGCTGTTCACCTAATGAAAATTTCCAATCTTTTGCTCCTTTCAGGAGAGGCAAGAGACTCGGGGGAGGTCCTGAGACAACATTCCTTAGGACATGATTCTCCTGAGACCATGCCTGAAAAATCTGTACAAGACAATTCCTCAGCTATGGGTCAGTCAGGCTGAGCTGTGTTGTTGATGTGTCCCTGCAGCACTTCATAATCATGGAGAGACCAGTTTGCTTATTCAGATCTCATTTCAAGGACATTGCTGAACAAATAATTCACCCATTTGCTTTGCAGAGAGCATGAAGGGTATTGCTAGCCACTAAAAAATTTTTAAAGTATGTATCTTGGTCAGCCTAACTTGCTTAGCTGTGAATTATGTATGATAGTGTTCTATAACTGCAGTCCGTGCAGCTTGAATGACCTCTAAAAAACACTCAAATCCTGACACCTGCAAGGCATAAAGTGTCTGTAGGGAAAGAGATTGATGTCATGGTAATATCATGACTTTAAATGTATGTTACCAGACAGCAATGCAGTCCTTAATGTACAGTATTATATGTATAATAAAATATACCTACCGCTTCATTGCTGTAGGTATGTTGTATGTATGTAGGCATATATGCGTATCCTGCTTCACTGCTGCCTTCAGGCCTTTCCTTAGTCCTGTCTGTGCTACTTGCCCACCTTCTCGAGTGGTAGTGGGGAACGGGAGCATTGGACATTGTGCTACCAACCAGCAAGAAAAAACATATTGCATCTTTGTGCCTGCTGTGAAGGCACAGCAGGTGGCTGCTCTGGTGGGTTTGGCTGGACTCCATGGGCTTTGGAAGGTGATTGCTAGAGGAAATGATGGTTATGGTGTCTCTAGTATCACTCTTTTTCTCTGCTCTGATGTGAGGCAGGTTCCCCAGCTGTTGGACATCACAAGGACTAGCTCAAGCTTTGCAGAGAGATGAGACTGGTTTGGAAGCAGAGGGTTAGGCAGGTGGGATGAGGGATGCATGCACCCAAAGCCCAAGGACAAGAAGATCTAGTAGTACTGGTTTTTGGGGGGTTTTGTTTTTTTTTGGTGCTGCAGAAGATTCAAGTGCCATTGTCCTGTATGTCTTGATAAAATAGACTTTACTAAAGACAACTTAAAAGCTCAAATAACTAATCTACCCCTTGGAATCCATCTGTTGTGCAATTTAGAAGGTGCTAGCACTTGAAATAAAGCTTGTACAGTCTCTGGCATCCTTCAAGATGACACAGGCATGTCTTATGTGATGAGGAAACAAAGAGAACAGTAGTTCCAGAAACTCTTTGGCTTGGGCCATTGTATGAGGATAACTGGAACTTGTGAGAGAACAGCATGAATCACGCAGGCAATTTCCCCATGCCCAGCTCTTTGAACACCTGCTGCAGTTTGCAGTGAAGTACAGCTCGAGATAATGCATTGTGAATAACCTTGTTTGAGAAGATAAGACACTCTATTTGGCTATATTTATTTAATTTTAAATGAATTTGAGGAAGCAGGGAAAAAAAATCCACAAAATTGCCATTGAGGTTTATCTGTGTTAAAACAAATACAAAACACAGAAGCATGTTTGTTCAGAGTGTATGGTTTTCTAACATAGGAAAAAAATAAGGACATAAAATATATTTGCAGATTACTTTGTGCAACCATACCCTTAGTTTCCTTTTATGAACAGTTAAGGAATAAGGCTTTTGGTAGCTTTTGAGATGAATGTGTTGAGAGATCTTCACAAGGGAATAATTAGCAGGCAATGGACAACTGCTGATAGAAACTGTTAATCACAGAGTGTATATTAAGTGCCAAGACATGACTTTCTTTTCCTTGGTTGACATTTAAGCCTAATGAAATCTGTACTGCCATGTTGCATGAGGGTGAGCTGACTAGCTTCCTGCTGTAATTGTAGAATAAGTGTTTGGTGGGTTTTGCCCCCTCTCCACCCTTTTTAAAAAACCTTTAGAAAACATATTGAATGAGTTGGTGAATCTGGTGCCAAAAGAATGATATATTGTAGTAATTTTAAGTGGAATTTTACACTGATACTGAATCAAGTTCCTTTTTTTTTTTTCCCCACTGGAGGTGACTGAAATTAGCATCTGTCATTAGGACTACATAGTGAAGTAAGCCGTGAGAGGTACTAAATTGTCCTTGAGCCTTCTTACCTTGGGGTGTAAGTTCCACTATGTTGCTGTCCCTTCTTTATTCTGTTTTCCTCATAGGGAGGCCTTTGTGACCAAACTCTATGGGTTTGTCTTTTTTTTTTCTTTCCACCTTAATTATATTTAAGATCTTTTCTTCTCCAACAAATACTATTTGAGCTAGTGCTCCAGGTTTCAAAGGTAAAAGAATTCTTACAGGTTTGTGTTTAAAGACAACAGAACCCCACACCCCCAGAACCACCATCCCCACAAAAACCCTGGGCAGGAAAGAGGAGCATTATGAATCTGTCAGCCAGGGACGGAATGCCATATGCTTTCTCCTTCTGAACACCAAAGTCTCCATTGCCTTGACTGCTCTTGGAAAGGTCTTCCTTACTTTGTGTTTTGCAAACAAAATCTCTTTGAACACAGATGAATTCTTTACATGATACTGCTATACATATGTATGTGCTCTGAGTTTTGCAAACTGAAGATTATAAAATAAAATGTTTAGAATTAATGTTTCCTGTGCTGTGCCCCTCTTTAAAAGGTATTGTTAAGTCTGAAGTGTATCTCTCCCTTATGGAACACAGTTGTTATGAAGAGATGTCTAACTGCTGGTGTTTAATTTACCAAATATAATCAAACTGTTTCAGTTGAGGGATAAAATAATGTTGTTCACAGTAAGTTGCTCTTGTAATAGAAATTCTAGCACAAACAGTGTTTGCCATTTTTGTCTTCAGAATGATTGAGGAGAGTGGGAAGAGGAGGAGGACAATGGCAGAGAAGAGACAGCTGTTCATGGAAATGAGTAAGTAAGAAATGTGAAGATATAATGTCGTTTATTCTTTACTGAAAGCTTCACTTTGATAGTTTTAACAGATCATTTGCATCTTGTTTCTACAAAACCATTGCCTTATCTAGTGAAAAGTATCCTGGGTGCTCCTGGGTGCTGCTCAGGAGGAGAAAATGAGGTGAGTCACAAATTCATGACTAGATTTTGTGATGCTTCTTTAAGGAGCATTCACATTCCTCATATATGGCAATATCTAAAGTTTGTGGACAACTATTAAAATAATTAATGACAACAGGAAGATCACCTTTTAACTTAAAAATAAGAAAGGCACCACAATGCTGGGAGAGAAACACTTTGGGGGGTTTGGGGGGTTGTTTTTTGCACAGGACCATTCTCTGAAGGAGAGGCTATCATTGTTACAAATATCAAATGCCTGTCCAGAGATATTATAATTTAAAGGAATGAGACGTAGCCTTTTATGAAGATATGTGCAGTTAGATGTGAAAGGCTGTATGTTTGCATGGCATTGTGTTATTTTACCTTCCTATGGGAGTACAGGGCTGAACTAAACACAGAGTTAGGCAAGTGTGTCCTGTAGTTCCAATTATAGGCTGGTGAAGGTCTGTCTTAAACCAATAATATATTCATGCTATTTTATTGAAGGAATTCCAGAGCAACATTCTTACTGTGGTTATAAGCAGCTTATCATTTCAGGAACAGTTTCATTCCTGGCTAATTTATATCTGCTTCCTGTCATGTGAGAGCAGTCTTGGATAGTATTTCTCCCCAGCTTTGCAGCTTGCTCTGTGTTTGAGTTCATAGCCGGGTCCCTTTGGGCTTGCTCAGCATATGGCAGAAGTGAACTCCTGTAGTCTGCCTGCTGTACACCTTCTCTCCCCTTCTTCTCTGCCTTTGTTCAGTTTTACTTGAGCAAAGGTGACTGAATTGTGTGTGATATCCTGGGAAACCTTATCAGAATGTTTTAAAATGACTATAGTACTTCTCCACTAGAAATGCTTTGAATGATGCATCAGTGTTTGACATTTGTCTCATCACTTTCAAGTGTTCTAGTCATCTTGTGGTCATTTAGTGCAGATTGACTTGCTAGTTTTTAGCTTAGGCTATATCATCAAAAATATTTTGAATTCTTCTGATTATCTGTGTACAAGGTGTCTGTGCAGCTGTGGTCTTGCTGTTCACTATCAGGGAAAGTGCTGGTGCACAGACATTCTGAATCACCTTTCTCTATGAGGTTCTTCAGCATATCAGTATGAGAAATCTAAGGGCTTCAAGCTTCACCTGTCCTGTGGTGGAGTATCTCGCTGTCAAGTAGACACATAAATGTTTGCCTTTCTAGGTGAGCTTCATACACAGAGATGTGTGATGTGTAAAATCAGTGCTTTCAGTGACCATTTGTTGTTGCTCAACATACAAATTTGCTCAAGTGTTCAGATAATGCTTCATGCAAGACGGGAGTAGACCTTGGCATTCACCCACACTGGACATGCTACCCACAGGGATGTATGTGTTAGTTTTGCAGTACTTATGGAGTGGTCTGATGGGCAAGAATTCTATGCAAGCTGTTCAAATTTCTCTGAAGTGTAGAAAACATACTGAGTTTACCTTATGGAAGGGTATAAAGAAGATGGAGCTGCACTTTTCTCAGCCCAGTGGCAGAGTACCAAGCAGTGGGCACAAACTGAAACACAGCAAATTCCATCTACCATGAGGACAAACATTTTTACTGGGAGAGGTTGCTGAGTGAAGTTGTGGAGTCTCCATTGTTGCAGATACTCAAAACTTAACTAAATACAGTTTGGGCAGATTGCTGTAGCTGGCCCTGCCTGAGCAGTGATGTTGGGCCAGGCTGATCTTCAGCCTGGCCGAACCATTCTCTCCATTCTTTCCAGCCTCCACCATTCTGTGATTCTGAGCTACATAGATTGTCTTGAAAACAGACCCCACTTCATCTTCAGATAGTTTAGAAGAAAGACCTTGTTGAAGCTTTTGTGGTAATGATGTGATACAGGCAGACAAGAACAGAAGATGGATGACTCTTTGGTTTTGCTTATAGTTGTTAAATGACCTTTTATGTATGTATAAATATGCATATGTTTTGTATGCATATATAGACTAAGAATTTTGTGAAGTCTCGTGGTCTCTGGAAATGCCTTCTGGGGTTTGAAAGACAGAAGTAAGCACCCTAACTGAGAGTTCTGAAAGGATGTTGCATAGAAAACACAAAATTACCTATTTTGTGTAGCCTTGGATCTGAATACTCCAGCTTGTGTTACCTGGCCAAGTACTTTCCTGAAATACAGCTGAGACTAGTTTTCTAAAGATGATACTGGAAAGTAATACACTTAGGTTCGTTGTACCATACTACCAAGTAGAACCCATCTTGGATGTTAGCTAGTCTATTGCCACTCTTAGGTCGTCTGTTGTGGGGAGCCTTTGGAAGTTGGTCAGCCTCTTTGCTGGTCTTGAGAGCCTTTTCACCTCCCCTTCTGCATGAGAGATGAAAATGGATAATCCTTGTACATCTCTTTAGAGACACAGTACCTAGGTCTCTAAGAACAAGCAGATGCTTTGGCATGTGTGCAGATGCTTTTGTGTTGTATTTGGAAAATTGCAATGAAATATCTCAAAGACAGGAATACTTTCTTAAATTTGCATCAGTGAGTCAGTGGGTGAATACATAAAGGTAATTAAAATTTGGTATTTGCAAGTTGGTTTCTGAATTCAGAATGTAGGAGGGAATAAGTTATCACCTTTGAGCAAGACCCCCTTCCCCCCCAGTACACTAATCTGGTATCTTCTTTGGGAGGTTGTGGGTTTATGGGTTTTTTTTAGGTACCTTTTAAAAGTCTGATTTCTTCAAGTTGGTTATCTCTACTTCTCAGTTCTCCATTCATTGAGGCTCTGGCTCTTGAGGGAAGGACAGACTGCTGCAGATCCTGTTTCTGGGCATTCCAGTGAGAATACAGGAGGCACAGGAGCCATGGGCATCAATGCCATTGCCCATGTGCATGTGGATGATTTCAGCCTACATCTCAGAGATATATTGATTGTAGGTCACAGCCACTGATGCTGTTGAGATGTGAGCCATTTAAAAGGCATTTTGGTTTATGATTAATGGGATTGACTTGTTGGCTCCTTCCAAATTAAAATGAACAATACTGGACTTTAAGCCAGTGTCATCATCCCCACATGATTTGTCATCTCTGGTCAGTTTAGAAGGAACACGGGTCTGTTTGTCAGAGAGTTAACATAACTTTCTGAAATTCCTCAAGTTTGCAATGCTCAGAGTAGTTGCTGAAACTGGTAGATGTGGTACAGACTGGTGACAGCTAATAGCATTCACCTCTTCTGCAATGTGTCATTCTTCAACGGTGTAACACACATCTTGAAGAGGAAGTTTGTTGGTGAGGATATGTTTTTCTTTTATGCTATTTCTTCTGCTGCTTACCTGATCTGAATCTCTCTAGGAAACCAAAAGCGTGTTCCTGATGGGTCTGCAGTGCAGGTGGTTGTGGGAGGACTAACCCCCCCCCCCCCCCTTATCTCCTGTGTGCATGTCTTCCAGCAGCAGAACAATCCTCTTCCTTACCCACTCACTGATTGATCCTTGCTTTTAAGATACTCATACCAGTGTCAAACTTGGCTCAGTTTATAATATGCTGCTGGAAATCACTTTACCATGAGATATCTAGTAAAAATCTTTGTTAGGTTCATATGACAAAGAAACAGTCATACCGGTTTTGAAGTAATTCTCTCAGATAAGCCGTCTGTTACAGAGGAAAGAAACACGCAAACTTTTTTTTATTCATAGGAGCACAGAATTTTGATGTCATCAGACTTTCCACGTATCGAACAGCCTGTAAACTGCGGTTTGTACAAAAAAGATGTAATCGTAAGTTATAATTACTCTTTACCTTCAAAAATTTCTCATGCATGATTGTTTCAAATGTTCTATCCCTGTGAATTTTAAGTATAGCAAGAGTAAGCAAACATTTTATTAGACAATGGTAGTTGTTACTTTAATCAGAGATGAAAAAATGTAACTAAAAAGAGACAGCAATCTTTGTCCAGTACAGTGTAACATCTTCAGTTTTATTTTTTAATGATTCAAAAATTTAAAATATATGGGCCAGCTTGACATATTTTGGTTGCCCGAAGTATTTGGTGCAGGCGGTCTCAAGCTGTTTGACGTCCTGTTCCATCACAATGTACCACAAACTACCTGACAAGTAGGCACAGGAATGGGTTTGGTGATGTGTTAATCCCATCACTGGCATGAAAGTGTCTGGATTTGGTCATGGTGCCCTATGTGAAATGTATCAGCTGTGAAGGATTCTTTAAAGTTCATACCATACTAGTCAGTGTAAGTTTTGTCATTCTTTTCCGTGGGTCTTTGGCCTTGGGTAGCTCACCAAAGCAAAGATTTGTGTCATGAGTGAGTAGGTGACATGACTTTGCATTCTGCTACCAGAGTTGAATTGGACACAGCAAAAAGTGGAACAGAAGAATGTACACAAGAGTTGGTCCCTCCTTTCAGAAAAGTGGAGTTAGTGTGTGTCTGGTGTGGAGGAGGACACAACAGCTGAGCAGTCCTGCAGAGGACATGGGCAACTGCACACTGCAAACTGTATCTTCTCCATTCCGCTGTTGGCCCCAGGGGGTGTGTGTCTTGGGGCTGTGTGGCAGTACCTGCGGTGCCTTTAGTGTGATGTATGGATTACAGATTTTTCATTCCTGTGGAGAAGCGTTACTCTGTGTCTGTAATTCATGCTTTTATATTAAAAATCTCTCTTGATCAGTAGAGAGATATTAAGAAATGCTTATTATAGTACATTGCACACCTTGAGCCCAATTCACTGATGCAACGCATATGCCTCAGGTAACCTTTACGGTACCTATAGGTGTAGATGAGGCTGTACATTTATGGTCTTTGTCTGGACCACAGGGTGATCTGGGGCATATGCTTGGTGTAAATACGTGCCTTGTCTTTTATCATTGTGTGGTATTTATGTGAAAAATGTAAAGACAAGTTTTATTAAAGAAATGTTAAAGATCACACCTTACTTCAGACCATTTTTGATGAATGAGGGAAGCTAACAAAACTTGTGAAGTTAGCAAATCAGTCTGTCCTTTGTAACTGTTGGCTCCCACTCAGTTTGGACTGATGGATTACTGCTGATCCTGTCTTCTCCTATTATCATGCGTATCTTTCAAGCTTTGAAACATTAAAAAAATATTATTTAATGTGGTTCTGCAGATCTCATACTGTGGGTTTGGAAAACATTCTGTGTTGTTAACACTTCTTCAGATAGATGCTAAGATAAGGCAGGGTAATTTAGGGGAACACTTTGGAGTTCTAGGCCTATGTTTACAAAGTACTGTGCTTTGGACTTGGCAACTGGATCAACTGGAAACAGTCACAGTTTAACTGGAACATCAAGTTCCTCCTTCAATACTCAACTACTGGTTATCATAAGGCTGTTCAAAATTATTGTAACCAGTTTGTAGTGGATTTAGAATGTGGCTGAAGTCCTCAAGTGACGCTACCTAACTGCTAAACCGCACTGCATGACAGAAGACCGCTTTTCTCCTATATGATGTTTTTCTGTCAGAGCACCCAGATGTTTAAGGGTGGGATAGAAGTCCCACAAGATATCTGGGCACAGATCTGTTATGTTAAACTAGCTGACACGAACTATGAGTGAATATCAAGAGTCTGTCTCTCACTTTGAAAACAAATAAGTAACTGTTCATTCCAAAATAAAAGCTAACAGTATTCGGAAATAGTACCATAACAGTAAGCTTGCATGCTTTACAGAATAGAAGTTAATTTGTTTTCCTTTATTTTTAGTTCATCTTGTTGATATCTGGAATATGATTGAAGCCTTCCGAGATAATGGCCTTAACACTTTGGATCATAACACAGAGATCAACGTGTCTCGACTAGAAACAATTATTTCATCCATCTACTACCAGCTAAACAAACGCCTTCCTTCTACTCACCAAATCAGTGTAGAGCAATCCATCAGCCTCCTCCTCAACTTCATGATAGCAGCATATGACAGGCTAGTAACTCTTCTAGTTGTATTCTTAAACTAATTTTCTCTTTAAGTTAGGTGAATGCAGCCAACAACTGCACGAGTCTTTGGCAAACTGTCCACATGCTGTTTCTCAAGTTCATGGAATTGTGTTGTGCACACACAGAGATATATTTAATATCATAGTAGTGCCTGCAGAGATTTATGCTGCCACAGCAGTGATGCTTTGTCTTAAAAATAGATTTATTAAGAAAGATAGGTTAGTGCCTTCTGGACCTTGCAGGTTGCTGTAAGCTGTGTATCTGAACTGAAGACAAAGTAAAACTGTGTTCTGCACGCTATGATAGAACATAATGTTAACCTCATGGTGGTATAGCACTGTTTTAAAAAGTGAAAGTGTTCTTTTGCACCCTGATCAACAAGACTGTTTTATAATGCTACCTTGTTTTGGCAGTCAGCTTGCAACCTTTTCTAACGTACTATGATCCCATAAAGGCTAGTTCTCGTTTCTTGGCTGGAAGAAACCTGATTTCTTGTTCAGGATCCTGTCTAGGTTTTTCCTTGCATACAGGTTTATGAGTTTCTTTCTCAGCCTCTTTCTTCAAGGTTTGATCTGCTAGTCTTCCTGAGTAGGTGTGTCTCTGGGGGATTCTCTGGTTCCACTGTCAGTTAGCACTCCTTACTTTTTGTCTTGCGTTTCTCACAGCCAGCTATTATTTCAGTCTTATCTTTCTTCTGCCTTTGCCCTCTCTCCTGAAGTAGAGGACTGCTTGTGGCCAGGACACTGTGTCACAGACTGAGGAGTTTCACCCAAGACAATTTGCAGTACTGAATATGCCCAGTAGTTGTTCTGTTGTGATGTCCAGGCTTTGATCGTTTCCTAATGTAACTTGTTATTGTCACCAAAGGGAGCTAGGTTTCCCCCAAATTAGTCTAAGACTTCAGAATAGTCCCTGTCTCACTGAGGGCAGGTAAAACCAATGCAAAGATTAGAGCAGGAAGACTGCTACAGCAACAGAATCAAATGTGCATTTCTCTGTTGAGTTTTCATTTGCTATTAGTTGTGAGACAAGCTGTAAGGGTTAGAGACAGGTCACATTAGAAAATAAAGAATTTAAAAATAGATATGGTCATGTTTTGGGGAGCTGGTTCAAAAGATTGAGGCTTTAGTTGAGATATGTTTTTCTCCCTTGCTGCCCTCAACCCTTCAAGTTCTGCCTTTTTTGGAGCCAAAGCAGCAAGCTGGATCCCAGCATAGTACAACAGCTTATCTTTAGCTTCCTCCAGCTGGCACATGCGGCTGAGAGAGAAGGTGGGATGCTGCGCTGTTGTGCAGTGGGAGAATCGGGAGTAAGTGGAGAGGCAGGGCTGGGGCTCCCCCTCTAGGAGTTAGTCAACATGGCAGACATTAACTTAACCCAGAAGTAGCCAGCTGCAGGGGAATGGCAGCACTGGGGTAGCTATGTGGTTGCTTGAATGGACATAGTGCATTAAGCTTCTTACAACATTGTGCTGGGGGTAACATCACCAACATTCCACCAGATAGGTTCAGGAATCAAAGAACTGACTAACCTCTTCCCTATGGAAATATTTAAGGTAGAGTTTCTGTTAGATAAGTATGAAAAACACCCACAATGAACATTTCACTGAGACCCATAGAACAACCCTGACCATAGTGCAGAAATGATGGCTCATACAGCATCATCGGTGAGTTAAGGAAGAATGGCTGTGGTACAATGTTCTTTGCTGCTTTTTCCTGCAGAGCTTTGCGTGGGTGTTTGACAGTTTGTTCCTGGTCTGCTTTTCCCAATAGACTCTCAGGGCTTCCCAAGGTCCCTGACTCACTATTGGCATCCAAGAGCTCATTCCCTGGCCCCATCTGGCTGTGTCAGGGCAGTCATTTGTTATTTCATTGTTTCTAGAAATCACATTTAATTTGTCAGTGGTTTAGTTGCTCCATCTTCTTTTTTCATTTTAAATTGCAGATATCACACCACACTGTATGCTGGCAGTAAACCAGTGTGCAGTAAGGGGGAGGGAGAAAATGACCAACAAACAAGTGAGGAAGTGAGTTAGTGGGCAAGGTGTGGAGGGATGTGATTAAGAAGAGCCTCATAGTCGGCGCAGAGGGCTCATTTCAAGCATATGTAAGGAAATGGCTGCAGATCAGTGCTGAGCAGAAAGCTCTTGTGCCTTTTCTGGGCAATTAGCATGACTGGGTGACTCTCTGAAGTGGCTGTACGCTGTGTGCAGCGTGGGGGACAAACAGGAGGAAATAGAGGTCTGATTTCTCTTAAGAGGACACAGTAGGAGAGCTGACACCACTAGAGTGCTGCAGTGGGTTCTTTTAGAGGGACAGACAAGGAGGGAAGTTGCCCTTTACATGGCAGATTAGCTGGAGTGCATGGAGCTCTGCCTGGGGATAGATAATGAGCCAGCTTGGAGCTGGAGTCAGGATCAGTAGGAAGGCGGACGTGGACATTGTTCCTGTGGGTGTCTGCTACAGACCGCCTGGTCAGGAAGACGTAGAGGATGATGCTTCCTTCAGGCAACTTGAAGAAGCCCCACAGGCCTAGTCTTTTTTAAACAAGTCCTCCAGTTCTGTTTCAAATCCTCAGAACTCCTAATTGTTATAGGAGTTTTAAAACTATACTGAAAGTTTTGTCCTTTTTCATTTCCATGGGGAATTCAGCAGATTGAATTGCTTTGGTATAAAAGTCATTTTTTGGCATGTTGCTTAATAACACCTCTACCAGATTGCAGAGGGAGGAGTTTGGAGGTTTTTCTTGATTAATAAGCAGAATGTCAGCAAAAGCAGTCTTAATATCTGAAGGCACCATACAATACCTTTGCAAGGGCAAGTTTGTGTCCTGAGAGGAGATATTGATGACTTTAGTAACTTGTTTTTCCTGGAAATGAATTCAAAGCTGAACTTTCATTTGAAAGAAAATGAATGTCTTGAAAAGAAAAGAAGGGGCCTGAAACTATAACTTAAGGAGATTTGAATTAACTAGTAAGATCGGCTCAGATAAAAGTGGAGGTCAAGGCTTGAAGAGCTGTTAAAAGGGGACTGGATATCAACAAAGCAGAGGCCTTTGAATCACTATTGCTCTCCAGAGCTCTTCCTGCAATTGTAGCTCTAGGAGATTGCCTCGCCTCTGTAGAGGGGATATTGGAAAGATTCTTTGAGTCTGTATTACAGAAATAGCATGTTGTATTTCAGGCACTTCTCAGCCTGAGAAAGGTTGAGAGCCTTTCCCTCACCATGGAGTGTGAAATGTTAGCAGAAGATAATATTTGCATATTAACTTTGAGTGTGAAAAGGGGAAAAATGTTATTTGGTTGCGTCCTGATGTCTCCATCTGGTTGCTCGTCTGTCACTGACATTAGACCTTGTTACTACTTCAATACCAGGAGCCAATATTTACTTTGAATAATTCTAATTTTAACACTTTATAAGTGATAGTCGTCCAAGTGCAAATGTTAAGTATGCATCTCATTTCCACTGAGAAGTTGGGTTTTTTCTAGATCCCTTCTAACACCCATCATGTATTTTCCCTGTCATCGTATTTTCCGTGATAGTACAAATTATCCTTCCAATACAGTTAATTACAGTTCATTATGGAATCATAGACTGGTTTGGGTTGGAGAGGACCTTAAAGCTCATCCAGTTCCAGCCCCCTGCCACAGGCAGGGACACCTTCAACTAGACCAGGTTGCTCCTAGCCCTGTCCAACCTGGCCTTGAGCACTTCCAGTGATGGGGCAGCCACAGCTTCTCTGGGCAACTTGTGCCAGGGCCTCAGCACCCTCAAGAGAAGAAATAGTTACTTGAACTTATTTTAATTCTTTTTCTCCTTTTACCCGTGACTTTAACTTCCTTGGTGGATTGTCAGTCTGCCCCGCTGTTGCTATATATAGTTAAAGATAATGACTCAGTATGTTTCTCTTTGGCATAAGTTGTTCAGAATTCCAACAGCTCTTACCCATGTTTACACTCATTTCTTTTGCCTTACACACCACTAAAGCAATGTTCAACTGACTTCACAGTAACACTGGACTTATACCGAGATCACTACTCTGTGGCTATTATAGTATCATAAAGTGGAGGTTTTCTGAGTCCTGTCTTTAGTCCTATCAATGACAGAAGTTCAAGAGACAGGAAGGCAAGATGCATGCCACCTGGTCTAGCACTGAGCATCAATTCTGCTGTGCTTCACCCCAGCAAACCTCCTCCTGTGGTTCTTGTGAATTAATTCCCTCATCATTTCATCCTTATCTTCCTTCCTGTTAACAGGAAGAATACATGTGCCTGTTTTACGTATCGTACCATGCTGAATGGGCTTTTGCATACTTTCCATAGAGACAAATTTGTTTTCTCTTGCTGATACTAGAAAATGATTCCCCAGATGTACCATCTGTTCTGATAGCACAACAGCTTTATTAAATTAAAATAAAGCAATGTTAATTATTCCTGTTCTGCATGGTATAGGATTCAGGATATCTCATGACTTCTCCATTAACTGTCAATTACTGGACTAGTTTTAGAATGAAAGGTGTATTTGAACATCAGGGTTTAGATCAAGGAGTGAAAGTTTAAAGCAACTTCATGCAAGACAAGAGTAGACCTTGGCATTCACCAAGTATGTTTATCATAATTGTGCAAGAGAACTTGATTTGTGATCAGACACTTGTTAACTGTTCCAATCTATTAAAAATGTTAGTGGTGTCAGTGTTTTAAAGTTACAGTAAAAAGTTTTGGCAAATATTAGTAGTTAATGAAGGGCTTTTTTTGCATTTCATTCCTAAGCCTCAAGTATTTTTGTTACTTTGCATTCTGTGTAGTAATTACTTACGATGTAATTTTTTCTCCACAGTGAGGGCCATGGGAAACTGACAGTATTTTCAGTGAAAGCGATGTTAGCAACCATGTGTGGTGGTAAAATACTGGACAAACTCAGATGTAAGTATTTTAAAGAAAACCATTTAGGAAATATCTTGTTGCCATGACCGGCCATGTTTTATGGTATTAAGCTTTGAAAGCTAACTGGTTGTGCTTATTCAGTAGTCTTTATACGGAAATTAACTTGCTGTAGTAATGGTTTTGTCACACATGCCATCTGCTGGCCATAGAACGTACTGAGTTACTGAGTGGGCTTTACACGTACGTTTGGTTATTTTAAAATGCTTGGGCATTTCTTTAAGTGTAAAACTTCAGGTCTGATTTTTCTGCTAGTAATGTCAAATTTGTTGCTGTTGCCCCAGTTTTGAGGATGTTAAGGGGCTTCTGGATGTCTTCTGCTTCACCTGAGGTACTCTCTGCATCTTCTCATTCTGTAACACCAGCTTCTTAGTTCTTTTTATACTCTTTTTTTTTTCAATTCTTCTTTCATCAATCTTTTTATTTCGTGCTTCATGAGCCTTCTGCTGTATCAGTAGAAAATCAGTGATATCCATAAACATGGGGTTTGTCCTTTAGGAGTAATTCTTGTTCTGTCTTTCCATTGGTAAGGTATACTGTGGTTCTGGGTGGTTTTTACTTTTCATTTGCACCCTGAAAAGTTGAGATGTTAATTTTGCTGTCAGTGCCAGATTTTACTATTCAGGTTTTGTCATTTTCACCTCACCCTAAATTCCCTTCATGAAAGTTATCTTGTAGCAATTTGTTCCTCCTAATCTCTACGGCTGTCATTCACTGTAAATAAGTCTTTAGACTTTTCCACGCTATTAAGCTTCTTTATTATATTTGCTTTAAAACTTGCAAATGTGAAATACTAGTGTGCTGAATGAAACTACATGGCAGGGTCTGAAAAATAGTGAGAAATTGCATGTACATATTTAATATTAAGGCTGCTCATGTTTCAGTACCAGGAAATGCAGTGTTTTTATCTGGTAGGACCTATAAAAATCTGATTTTAAAAAAAAAGCTGCAGGTGGCTAAAGATTAGTGTTAAAGGGGAGAGGCATAGATGACAGAGGATATTTAAGATACTTAAGCATTTTTAACAAATGCATTACCTCTATAAAATACGCAATATCAAATACTGAGGAAAAATGTAGAGACTGCATTTCCTCTGTAAAAGATTACATTTTGGATTTAATTAGGATGAGATTTGAGGCGCTGACAGTAGATAAGCAATTCAGGCCTGGGACAGAAGAGCATTATTGCTAGAATTAGCAAGATAGTACCGAAACACATCAAGAAAATGGTGCTGTTACCTATTGGTGGTAAAGGCTATTAACCACTGGAATGAAGTGTTACACAGATCAGAAAAGTTTTGATGTTTTCAGGCAAAGATCTAGATACTGTTCTGAAGGTTACGTTAAGCCTTAAGTTAATGATTCAAAAGGTGGCATAAGGACACCTCATTTAATAGTGACACCTATTTAACAGGTGTGTCTAGTCTTAGAATTTGTGCATTTAATGTACTGTTCTCTCTGTCTTTTCATAATGTTTGCTTTTCTTCATAGCATTTGAAACTTCCTTTTTTTTCTTGTTCTCTTGGTTCCCATGTTCTTTGCCTCTCTAACTTCTTTAGAGAAATTCCTAGCTGGTGTTCATACACATTGGAGGAAAGGCTTTTGACTGCGTTCACTGAACAGTGCTGCTTCTTGCAGCATCGCTCTGTTTCTGGTTGTTGTGCCTGTTACTTATTCTTTCTTGCATCTTACCAGCTAACCTTTAGTTTGCAGTGTACTTCAGGGGTCTTCCCTCCAGTGTCATCTGTCCCTTTTTTCTTGGTGCACTCCTCTTTGGATTTCAAAGAGCATGTAGCTTCAATGTGTTTTGGACAGTAACACTCCTGCTTGTTGCCCGTGCTGCGTACATTGGTGTAGGTGCACTTCAGTTGGGCTCTTGATCCTGTTACCTGTTTGTGGAGAGAAGCTCTAATTCCTATGTGACCATTCTCAGGTGCTTCCATGGTTTCTAATACATCCATAACCCTTCATCTTTCTGCCACATGGATCTCCATACCCTGTCTCCGCAAAGACAGCAGACTGTAGGACCTTGCTAGCACAAACACTGGTGTGCTGCCCCCAGGCTTATCTCTTGTGAGGACCTTTCCCCCTTCAAATCTAGTTTAAAGCTCTTTCTGTGAGCCCTGCTATCTCCTTTTCCCCCTTGGAGACAGCAGGACTGGTGTTGGGTAAACTGATCCACGATGGAATCCCCAAATTTTGCCAAACAACTAGATAAAGCAAGATTCCTCAACCTGGAAAGAAAAATGGTGCTGGAAGGATAGTGTTCTACAAAATCATGGGTAGTGTGTTGGTGAAAACAGCTGTTCCATTCCCCTTCCAGTATAAGAACTAAAGAGTAGATCAGCAGTGACAGACTGAAACAGCAAACCCCCTTATTTAAACTTTACCAAAGGAGGTCAGTATCAAACATTTACTGCTTGAACTGATTTCACTGATGGCAAATTCATTTAAGGCTGCTGAATGCAGACACTCAGTGAGTGGAGGAGTGTTCTGGAAAACGTGCTTGCCTCAGCTATCTGCTGTTAGCATAAACAGGTTTTTGATCTGCTGTGTCTCAGCTGTCCTCACTCTTTATTTTTTCTGATCGTTATGAATATGCTGTCTTCTTGTTTCCTCTTTTCTGTCTTTCCCACCTCTCTCTGATTACTGACCCATTTCATCACCAAACTCCTTCTGTTTCCAGTTTACTTGTTTTTCTGATTCCAGGGGAATCCATGCTTCCAGAAAGCATGAGGCTTTCTGGAAATTGTAACTTATTTTTTTTCCCCTCAGCATTTATATGAATGATAGTAACTTGATCCCTATACTTGCATATGTACAGGCTTGGTTTTTTAAACTCTAGAAATGTGAACAAATGGAGTGTTTTTAAGTCCACACAGTGTCTGACAGCACATACGAAATGAGTTGTTCAATGCAACCACTTTGCTGTCTCTGGAAAAGATTTTTTTCCATGACATGGTACTCCTTGCAAATGAGTTCCTTCATGTGGCATGCAAGGTCAGAGTTGTAAAGCCAGCTTATTGCTGTGGACTTCATGATTTTTGTCAGAGTTTTTTCAGGCTAAGAAGTTCCATGTAAAAATGTCAAATTTCATGGATTCAAATTGCTTCATTTTGTCATTCAAGTAGATTCATTGTGAAGTAATTAGTGCTTCCTTCTGTGTCATTTCTGCAAGTAAGTTGTGAACAGAACTTTTTGTAAATCAGGACTCCATCCCACTCATTCTGAGGGCTGACTTCTCTAATGACTGTCTCTACCTGTGGGGTGCTCCTGGGCTCCCTTGCCTAACCAGCTTCTATTTCTCACTTGCCATCTAGTGATAGATCATCCTTTAGTGTTTACTGAAGTTCACCCTAAAATTCATACAGTAATGTTTGCTAAATACTAGGTTTCACATAATAAAGGTCCTGAAAGCTAATATGCTGTAGGTGAATTAGCCCAATTGTGGGGGGCTGATTTTGAAGAGAGGGTATTTTGTTTATTGGAGTGAAGTGAGAGGGAAGTTATTTGTTTTGGCCTTAATCAGTGGACCAAAGTAGTAGTAGTAGTAATAAATATGTGGTTTGTTGTGGTATCATGTCTATTCAAACTAAACAAATTCAGTGCACAATTTTGCATTACTGGAGCAAATCTGGAGGAGGCCAAAAAGATGCTCGGAGAGCTGGAGTGTGTCTGCTATGGAGACAGGCTGAGAGAGCTGGGCTTGTTCAGCCTGGAGAAGAGAAGGCTCCAGGGAGACCTTAGAGCAGCTTCTGGTGCCTGAGGGGGTCAACAAGAAAGCTGGGGAGAGGCTTTTGACAAAGGTCTGTAGGGACAGGGCAAGAGGGAATGGATTTAAAGTGACAGAGGGGAGGTTGAGATGAGATCTTTGCAAGAAGTTCTCTTCTGTGAGGGTGATGCACTGGCACAGGTTGCCCAGAGAAGCTGTGGCTGCCCCATCCCTGGCAGTTTCAAGGCCAGGTTGGATGGGGCTTGGAGAAACCTGGTCTAGTGGAAAGTGTCCCTGCCCATGGCAGGGGGCTGGAACTAGAGGAGCTTTAAAGTCCCCTCCAACCCAAACCAGTCTATGATTCCCATATGAAGACAGGCTGAGGAAGTTGGGGCTGTTCAGCCTGGAGAAGAGAAGGCTGCGTGGAGACCTCAGAGCAGCCTTCCAGTATCTGAAGGGGGCCTATAGGGATGCTGGGGAGGGACTCTTCATTAGGGACTGTAGTGACAGGACAAGGGGTAATGGGTTAAAACTTAAACAGGGGAAGTTTAGATTGGATATAAGGAGGAAATTCTTTCCTGTTAGGGTGGTGAGGCACTGGAATAGATTGCCCAGGGAGGTTGTGAATGCTCCATCCCTGGCAGTGTTCAAGACCAGGTTGGACGAAGCCTTGGGTGACATAGTTTAGTGTGATGTGTCCCTGCCCATGGCAGGGGGGTTGGAACTTGATGATCTTAAGGTCCTTTCCAACCCTAACTATTCTATGATTCTATTGTTTTATACAGGATTTCTTACATCTCAATTTTTTATAACAAATTTTAGGAGTTGCCACCACACCTACCAATCTGGTAGAGGCAGGGCTACTGCAGTCCACCAGTGGCCAGGGTGGCCATGAGTTACCATTAGGAGCACTTCATGCAGCCTTATGGATCAACGCAGACAGAAATACCCACGTAAACACAAACAGCACCACAGAGCTGGTTCTGTTTGCCTGTCTGCCTGGTCAGGATAAAAGCTTGCCAGTAGCATAAATATATACATATCTGTACATGTCTGTAGAATATGGATCCCTCCAATGACTGGCCGCAGATGCCTATCTATCTAGTAGTTGATTGTTGGAGCCTCTTGCATCCTCTGGTCTCTCCAGTGTCTGTCCCAGACTTCTGACCTCTCTCATACCTAGCTCTCCAACTCTTAATTGATAATTTTTCCTCCAAAAGCATTTCCATTATGTCTATATAAGTGTTTGGGTGGTGCTATTCTCAGTGCCTTATCTTCTGTATGCTGAACAGTTCCTGTTTCCTCAGGCTCTCCTCAGAGGACAAGTGCTTCAGCATGCTGACCATCCTTGTGGCCCCCTACAGAGCTCACTTCAGTTGGTCTTTCATATTCTGTGATTCTCAACAGTTCTCTGATGCTGGGGGTTCCCAGAACTGGGTACAGTACCTAAAAGGTGTCTAAGACTTGCTGTGTGGAGAATATCATTTCCCTCCACTAGCTGAGTTCCTGTTCATACAGCCAAGGATGTTTTTGTCGACTTTGCTGCCAGTGAGCAGTGCTGGCTTATGGTCATGTTGTGACCTCAAAACTCACAAGGACCTTTCCGGCAGAGCTGCTCCGCAGCCTGGATTGGTGCTGGAGTCCCTTCCTTCCCATGGGCAGAGCTTTCCATTTATCCTTTTGAACTTAATACAGTCCTTGCTGGCCCATTCCTCCAGCTGTTCCAGGTCCTTCTGGTTGGCAGCCCTTACCCTCACGGGTATATCACCTGGTCCTCCCAGTTTGGCACCATCTGTGAGCTCAACAAGCATGCACAGATGTTACTGACAGAAACACGGAGCCCCACATGTCCCAGGACAGATTCCAGCAGTAGTCCACTTGTTGGTCTCCACATATTAGATCATCCAACCAGCTACTTGCCCATGCAGACTGTGACATCCCAGGTTTGATACTGGAATGTTGTGGGGAATAGAAAGTAAAAAGCCTTGCTCAAAATGAGATGAAAAGTATCTACAAATTCAGGTATCAGAAGACAATGGAGGTGGTCAGGTGTTATTTAGCCTTGGTAGAACCATACTGGCAGATCCCAGGCAGGAATGTGCACCAAGAAGATTTGCTCCATGATTTTCCCAGGATCTGAAGTGGGGCTGACTGGCCTCTGTTTCCTTTTGACCTTAATAGATACTTTAGATTAATGCCAATGAAACTGCACACACCACACACACCCCAAAAAGCACAGTCAAAACAATTCACCTGTTAAATTAATTTTCTTGGCTTTTACTGATACTGAACCTAGTATTTAACAAGTATTTTATGATTATGTATGATAAAAATTTGTAACTTCATCGGAATTTGGTGACATGAGGTATGCTCAAGGTCAAGATTCTGGAAGATGAGGGTGCCAGGGTTTTGTCGCTGTGGTTTTAACTCCATTGGAGAAATGGTGGAGCCTTCACTTGAAACTGCTCAAAGCATTAGGCAAGTTCCCTGACTGGAAAACACAAACAATTTTGGTGCTTATGAGCAGCTGAGTAGAGGCTCTGGAGGGAGCTGCTGGTCAAGTCTGACATGGTATTGTGAGCTCTGTTTTTAGCATAAAAGTTTTACTACAAGCATTCGAAAAAAAGGAAATAGTGAGTTGCACAAGTGCCATTTTACATTGGTATTTTGGGGACTGAGCAGTGGGGTTTATAATTCCAGATTTATTATTCTCTCCATTAAAAAAAAATGTTTATGTCATAATAGCATTGAACTGAAATTTTATATGAGAAACTCTATTAGAACCTGCCTGTTGCAACCCTGAGGGAGCTCTTGAGAAATGACACTATTACTCTGGGTTGCTTCGGGTTTTCTGTTTGAGGATAATTTACTGCCCCTTTAAAGGGCAGATGATTTTATATCCTATTAATCTTTATCTTTTCCAATTTCCCTGCTAATTTAATGAGTTTAACCTCACTTTGATTATAAAACCATTGTTATGACTGTGAGATAAAAGTTAGTGGGCTTTGGTTTGGTTTTTTCTTTTTAATTTACCCTTGATAAAGCCTGTTCTATTTTATCTCATTTTCAGTTTATTTCCATAGCTTCAATTAATTTCTTTTTAAAAATAATTTAAATTTTGCATCCTACTCAGTCCGCATTAATAGACTGTGAATACCCAGCAGATTTCTGTCCTTTGTTAAACACAAGTGCTGTCGGTTGCAGTCTGGATCTGCCCATCTCAGCTTGACAGGTTCATTACCAGACCTTCAGATTTTGGGGTCTGATCTAGAATGGCTTGGGATTCAGGAAGTTTGCCTTGCTGATTAGGTTTAATTGCTTCCATAGTTTTGATTTGTGTGCATTGTGAGCCTGACTTTTCTACCACGTTCAATTTTTGGGTTAAATTTAATTTTTCTGCCTGGCCTAATTTTCTAAAATACACTGTTCCCCTCCTGACACCCATTGTTTTTTGGGGTTTTTTTTAGTATTTTTCCTGTTTTTCCCCTCTCTTTCATTTTCCCTACTGTTTTCTCCTCTCCTTTTTCCTTTCTCCCTCCCCCCATTATTCCTAATATGGCTCATCAGATTATTCAACAAGATCTTCAAACCCTCACTTCAAGCTTGTCTGTTTAGCCAGTTCACTAGAAATACGCCTTTCCAAAATAGTTGGAGTTTTTTGATGGACCTAGTTTTGATTACTTAAATGAAGCTTATTTTCTGTCAGCATCCTCATTATGATGTGTAATTACTGCTGGTGTCTCAAATAACCTCAGAGATGATTCAGTGCTAGTGAAGAATTCTGGTATCTGTCACATCTTGGAAAAATTTAGGTCTTACTAATATTAGTACTATCGTTAGAGAAATCTTCCTTTATAGCATGATATGACTTCAAAGTTTATCAGTTTTGCTATTTAAGCGATTTGTCTTTTCCAAAGAGATTTTTGATCCCAGGACAGTTAGGATGTATCTATATACAACTGTTCCAATGTTTTATGTGATATCATTTTCTTACCATGTTATCTGCACGCCTTGTTCTGTATTTTTGGCTTTGCTGGGGCCTCTAAGCTGGTTGTGTAGAGTGGCTGGAGTAGAGGGGCTGGAGGAGCTGAGCTCTGTGCAGTCAGGGGTGGCTCAGGGGCATCCTCCATTCCCATGCCCACAGCTGAGTGTGGCTTTGGGGGGAATCTTGCCAAACCCCCTTCTCCCTGCTGCTGGATGTGACTGACCTCCCTCCCTTTCTTTTCCCATATATGCACAAGGCTGCTGAACACCTTGCTCAACCCTCTTTCTGGTTTCAGAAATGTGTTTAGCACCATGGAGCTAATAAAAAAACATACATTATCTCATACCACACAGTCCTCTTATCATATAGTCATAGAATAATGGAATGGTTTGGGTTGGAAGGGACCTTAAAGCTCATCCAGTTCCAACTCCCTGCCATGGGCAGGGACACCTTCCACTGGGCCAGGTTCCTCCAGGCCCCGTCCCACCTAGCCTTGATCACTGCCAGGGATGGGGCAGCCACAACTTCCCTGGGCACCCTGTGCCAGGGCCTCATCACCCTTGCAGTGAAGAACTTTCTAATATCTAATTTAAATCTATGTTCTTTCAGCTTAATTCTTAATTTCAGCATAAGTCTTGTGTAAGGACAGAAGTTCATAATCTAGCTCTCCAGTGTGCAGTTTCTCTAGTACAAAACTCATTTCCTCTCTCCCCCAGCTCAGCTGCCTGGCTAGGGTGTCTCAGCCAGGGACAGGGGTCAGGGCACCCCAGTTCTCAGCACATCTGTGCCACACTCTCCTCCATTGCTGCAGCGCTGGAACTCAGCCTGGCCGGGGCATGCACCCAGCTTACCATGGGCTTTGCCAGTTTGGACTTTGTGGTTCTTACAACTTCTTTTAATTCTGTGAGACCTCTGAGGATTTTGAGGTTTATTTTGAGGTTTATTTTGAAGGTGTAAGCTTGAAGATGTTGTGTTCTGTAACTTTTATACTGCCTCCTCGCTTCTGCTTTCCCCTTCCTCTTCCCCTTCCTGTTACAGTTAATGCACTGAATCTTATCTCAAACTGGGGGAGATGGGATGGAGGAAACAGAAAGATTTACATCACAGCATGTTCGAATATATTCATTTATAAATTTCATCTTGATAGGTAATTTCATAAGAAATTATGTTCAGAAGAAACCAAAAAGAAATGTCTTGGGGCTTAAATGGATTGAAATACTTACTTTTTCCTGTAGTAAGCATGTATTTACTGTAGGGTTTTATTATATTTTCTTGCAGATATTTTCTCTCAAATATCAGATTCAAATGGACTAATGATATTTACAAAGTTTGATCAGTTTTTGAAAGAAGTTCTAAAACTTCCAACCGCTGTCTTTGAAGGGCCTTCTTTTGGATACACAGAGCATTCTGTTCGGACCTGTTTCCCACAACAAGTAAGCATTAACCACCCAGGATTTCTGTATCGCGTGTTAAGCCTGGGTGGGTCATGGTTTGGATGGGAGGTTTGGAGAGGGGGTGGTAATAAGTGTTATATCCCCTCAGCAGTTTTAAGACAGTCTGAGGAATTAAAAATAGGATGCCTGAGTCTTGGGCAACTAAATGATTTTGCATAATTTTGTTCGTTCCTCCTCCTTGAAGGGACACTTTAGTTCCCTATCAGAACAGCAAGGATGATCTCTTTCTTTTCTAGAACATGAAACACAACATTTTTACTCTTTTTCTGTGATTATTTATTAAGCTTTCTCAGTGTTTTAAGAGTGTGTCAACAGATCACTTGTTGTGTGGTTGGGCCTGTACAACATAAATACATGGTGTGCACATAGTTTATTTTTAAGTCAATTTTACCATTATGCTTATTGGTATAGCTGTTTTTTCCAAAATATTTCCACTACAGCTGATGTTTGGAGTAGATGTTGTGATAATGATCTTAAAGAGCTTTTTATTTCTTTATGCACTTACTGCAATTTAATCGTTCCAAGGATTTGTTTCTAATTTGAAATAGTGTAAATAGTATAAATAATTCTTAAATCAACTGTAAGCCCGAACCTAGATAATCGTAGGCCTAAAATTGAATGTTTAGATTCTGGTCATGATTATGTTCCGGAAGAAGTATTTCTGAAGTACTTAGATTTAGTGTTTATAGTAATTTTTGTTAAACTTAATCAGCAATTAGAATATTTGAAACACAACACAGTAGGAAAGAGCCTTTGATTTAGGAAATGATGAGGGCTGGAGTTACTGAGGAGAGAATTTTGTTTTACCAATAGTGTAATTAATAAATATTTATTTCTGTTTCCATAGTGGCTGATACATTTGTGGGCCATACTTGTTTGCATGGATATGCCACCCTCTCTGATCTGATCAGATCACGTTTCACACAAGTGGCACTGCTTTTGAATGTAGAGCCTCAGCATCACTAAGTAGCTATAGAAGTCAGACATTGGATTCTAAGCTCCACATGGTCTGTCCATGTCTGCAAAAGAAATGGGGATGGGGTTTTGTTTTGTTCAGAAGCCTGAATTCTGGAAGTGACATTTCTTACCCCTAAAGAAGGGCTGGTGTATCTCCTTAGACTTTGACAGTTGGCTGAGATCTCCTAAGATAGTTAACGCAAATCTCACTACTGTAGCCAAGTGAGGTATAGTAACTGCCCTTGAATCTGAGCCAGCAGTGTAGCCAGGTGCCAAGAAGGCTAAGAGCATGCTGACTTTATCAGCACTAGTGTGGCCAAGGAGAGCCAGGGATCATCCCCCTCTACTCAGCACTGGTGAGGCTGCAACTTGAATCCTATATTCAGTTCTGGGCCCCTCACTACAAGAAAGACACTGAGGTGCTAGAGCGGATCCAGAGAAGGACAACAAAGCTGGTGAAGGGTAAGGAGCACAGGTCTTGTGAGAAGTAGTTGAGGGAACTGGGATTGTTCAGACTGGAGGAGTCTCAGGAGAGACTTTATTGCTCTCTATACCTGCCTTAAAGGACGTCATAGCGAGGTGAGGGTTTAGTTTGGATATTAGGAAAAATTTCTTTCCCAAAAGGTTTATCAAGCATTGGAACAGGCTGCACAGGGCAGTGGTGGAGTCCCTGGAGGGATTTAACAAACGTGTGGATGTGGCACTTATGGGCATGGTTTAGTGGTAGACTTGGCAGTGCTGGGTTAGTGGCTGAGCTTGATGATTTTAAAGGTCTTTTCCAACCAAAACAGTTATATGATTCTGATTTGCATGTGGCTTGCCTGCAGAATGTCTTAGCACTCTGGGTTTGGCTCCCATGAACAATAAAGCTAATTCTTCATATTGATTTACTTTTAGAAATTCCTTTGCTCTAATTTTATTCAGAAAAACAGAATCTCTCATGTAAGGCCAGTTTGTAGAGAGTGGTAGTATTTTTTTAATTGATCCCGATATACAAGGTATCCCAAGATGGTTCTTTCATTATTGGAAAACTTTGAAATGGGTCCTGGGAAGTAGATGGATAATCTGGTTTAGAATTAATCCCATTTTTTTATGCCTCCCAGATCTGAAAACAAGCTTCCCAGAGGTACTTAGGTACTTCTGTGATATTCTCCTTTTACAGCCTGTGATTTTCCTCCAGATAACGTTGGTAAAGCTGTGGGGTTTCAGACTTTGGCATGTACATGACAAACACATAAACTACATTTGCAGTAGTTAACTAAACACTGCCTTGAGCTGTCCTGGGGTGCTAAGGCCAACTGGAATTGTCTAACCACATCCATGTTACTAAACTCTCTTATTCCCTCAGGCAAGGTGGTTACATGGAAACTGTTTATTAAAAATGATTCCTAGCTGATAATAACACCTGATCTGGGTACTGGAATCATTTGGGAGAGTGAGTAGTTAAACTAGGCACAGGGTCAATAGCATAGAAGTATGCACGATTTGAGTTTCAGTGCCAGAAATATTCCCTAGTGTTACTTAATCTACCAAGAGGCAAATACTTCCTGGCCAGCTGTGGCTCCTGGCTACCCATGGAGGTCTTGGTTCCGGGAGACGCTTTTTCCAGGTGCCAAAGCCTAATAGTTTGCTGCAGTCTGAGAGGTGAAAGGGCAGATAGGTGAAGAAGTGTTGGTGATTGTATACCCTACAAACTGTTTCATTTCTTGGGTCACAGAGGAAATAACTCCAACTTGTTGACCACACAAAATGGAGTTTATTGGGATGCTTTTGGCAAGAACTGCATTCTTTGTGATGGCTTCCAGATGTATAAAGAGCTTCCAGTAATACTTTGCTATTCTAGGTCAAGTGGAGGATTCCACAGATGTAAGATATCATGTCATATTTTTCTTAAGACTTGTTCACTTGGCCACAGCCCCTGTATTTGTCAGAGATGTTGTATCACCATGACGTTCCCTGCCTTAGTCAAAATCCTTCTGTGTTAATGGCATAGCCTGTCCTGTTGTTGCAGAGGTGTGTCCACTTTACATCTCATTTACAGAGCAGCTTAATTGCAGTGTTCCTACTGAGCTGAGACATTTGCTTCTGAGACTCAGGAGCCAGGAGCTTGGCTGCTGTACGGTCCAACTGCACATCGTTCTATTGAAACTCAGCAGCACAGTCTATACAAGCAGGCCTGGGTAGGCACTGGTTTGTGCATGCCTTACACAAAAGCTTTGCTGAAGTACTGGTTGACTTAGGCTTTGCCAATAGCATGGCTGATAGTTAAACTAGATAGATCACAAACTTAACAGTGTCAGAACAATGTACAGTTGCTAAAGTGAGCAATAAGGATATATTAAGGACAAGGTGGTCTTGTGTATAAAGAACGACATAAGCATACTCTGATAGAGCACAAGACACAGAATGGTTAGAGATACAGGTGAGGTTTAATATACAGCTCTTTGGACCAGTATAACTTGTTTTGACTGCTGTAGAGTTATAAATCATGTATCTTTATGCAGGCTCAGGGGATGTGGTTTTGTGCCACATTTCCCCACATGCATTTTGTGGGCAAATATATGCATTAACATCTTGTTGAAACAAGTGTGTTGGCAGTTTAACAGTAAAACTGGCTGATTTTTTTTTTTTTTTTGCTATTGAAGCAAGCCTATGGTGTTCTTCTAAATACAAGAATAGCATTGGTATAACCTGTCTCTGCACTCACCTGCAGGAAGATCTGAGGCTGCAGAGCTATTAAAACAAGTAGGTATGCTAACAACAATTGGTAAAAACAGTTATTAAAATGGAGTAGAGTCAGCAGGTGATCACAGAGTTTATCTATGCAGAATTGCATTTGTTCTCCTGAGGAGCATTTGACCCTCATGACTGATGTGCCTTCACATTTACTAATTTTCCATTTATGTTCTTGGAGTTTGGAACTGCTGGCAGATTATTTAATTGTTGTTGCATCACAGATGGTGGCTGAATGATATTCTGTAGTTGTTCCATGGCTGGATTCTGAACCCAATAGGAAATGCTAGACCAGCTACAAGAAAGGGCTTTGTCTAGGCTCGTTCTCTGAGACATAATTTCTAGGAGGAGACTGCTGTTTGCTTTCTTGTCAACTCAACCATTAGTGTGAACACCTCGGCCCAGACAGACAAAATGTAGCAATGATAATATAGTGTGATTCTTTTTGGTCAATCGGTTGCAAAATATCCTACCTGTATTGGCGAAAAAAACCCAAAGCCTGTGTCCCCGACTGCCCTCTTTTGAGTTACATGAAGTTCCATCGCTCTCTACACAGGCTTTGACAATTCATACAGTTCACACTGTGCAAAGGGAACTCATTGATTTTTTTCTTTTTTTTCTTTTTTTTTTCTTTTTTTTTAGGAATATTCTTGTATATAGCAGAAGGAAGATCTCCTGCTACATTTAGGTGGTTCTGCTACTGTCCGTATCATATATCACTGTCTAATCATAGCTTGGTTTGGGTTGGAAAGCTCCTTAAAGCTCATCTAGTTACATCCCTCTGCCACAGGCAGGGACACCTTCCGCTAGATCAGGTTGCTCCAAGCCCCATCCAACCTTGCATTGTTCACTGCTAGGGATGGGGCAGCCACAGCTTCTCTGGGCAAACTGTGCCAGTGCCTCACCCCCATTCACAGGGAAGACCCTCTTTCTAATATGTAATGTAAATCTACCCTCTGTTAGTTAAAAGCCATTCATTTTTGGCTTCATAATTGCAAATGAAAGCTACAATTAATTTCACAGACCCTAGAAACCCAGCCTGGCTTTTCCTCCAGCCCTCCTTGCCCTCCCTGTTGTGGGTGCTCTTTGGAGTAGCACTGCCATATGCTAAGGTTAGATAAAGTACCACCTGACCCTCTGGCCACCTGCCTGTGAGAGGTTCTTACACATCTCACTGCTTGTGTGCAAAAGCCAACATGTTCTTTCTTTGTATCCACAAGATTCTTCACTGGTTTTCTTACCCGTTGTCTCCATCTGCTTGTATTTGCAGCAGCAGTTTTCTTTTGCTCACTTGAATCCAAAACCTTAGGAAATACTACTCTTCACATGGCTGACTTCCCTCTCCTAATGATTTCATTTCAGTTTCATTCTTAGTCACATTGCTTAAAATCTTAGTCTGGTTCTCCCCTTGCCTCTTTTTTTCTTGTTTTGACTTAAAAAGAAAATCATTTATTGTATGCATCCTGGATGAATATTCATTGTAATTACTCTTTTATGTGTCTACTTTTTAGTCCTGACTGTATGTTTGAAATACCATCTCCTGCATTAAATAACCTCTGCTTACATTTGTTGTATTCCTTAACTGCATCTGGGGAACTAATCCAGACTGACCAGTCCTCCATTTCTTGGAGTTTTCTGTTCATTTGTATATGTTTATTTTTGTATGATTATATCATGTCTACACTAAAACCTTCTTTGTGTTGTTACTGCTTGCCTAACATAGATTGAAACTCCCTAAGAAGTTGTGATTTTTATCTCTTTCTAGCATGTGAATTGTTTCTGCTAGACAGAATTGGAGTCATAGAAAAATTTTAAGGCTGAAGTAGTTTGGGGTATAGTATTTTTTTTTCTTATAATTAAGTTCTATTTCTCTTTTCTTTGCAGAAAAAGATCATGATAAACATGTTTTTAGACACATTGATGGCTGATCCACCTCCTCAGTGCCTTGTGTGGCTGCCTCTCATGCACAGACTTGCCCATGTTGAAAATGGTAAATGGAATATTTTCTTGTTTGAAACATCTGGTCAGAGCAGGGTTTCTGTTCAAACTATGTAAATGTGCTATCCTTTCTCAAGTAACAAAGCACATATGCCTTTGTTTTTCCTACTGTAATGGTCTCAGTCCCAGAGCATTTAAGCCCAGACTTTTGTTGGAGGGAAAAGGAATGAAGACTGATTCTTTATGAAATCACCAGCACCAATCTAGAGCAAGTTTAGTTTCAGAATTCTAGCATCACTGATAGCAGAAGATAAAAAAACGAGTAGCAGAGAAACAGTATTCTCTAAATGTTCCTGTTCTGAAACTCTTAAAACCCTTCACTTGAACGATGCTGTAACATATGTTTTCAAGTGCTGACTCCCCAAGATTTTGGTTCCTATTCAACTGTCTGTCTTAAGTAGCATTTGAGCACATGAGTCACTTCAGTGCTCGCTATGGGAGGTAAATCCTGAGCTCCTCTGGCTTTCAGGCCTTTTCTTAGCTAAAATTCCCTGGCTTTACAGCCAATGGGAAGTGGTTAAGGAGCAATAAGGGATGGAAAATGGAGACTAACAGTGAGAAAAGAGTAGTGGAAGAGTCAGCGGCTGCAAGGGCTTTATGGAGTTTAGGAAAACGGAAAGGTTTCCTGCAGAAAGTCATGCAAGTGTATTGAAAGTATTTGTTGTTTATAGTGGAAAAAAGGTTTAATTTCTTGTACAGTTGCACTCAGCATGTGTGTATGGTGTTTTATATGTGAATTCTAGAAAAAAAAACCACAACTTTTCTTTTTCTTCACCCATAAACTCCATCTTTTGTTTCTTTCCCCACAGAGTAAAATCATCCTATCATCCATCAAAACCTCTGCTGTACTAGTTGTTGCCTCTTTTTCTATTTAATGTACTCATAGTAATTTCAAGGTGTATAGACTTCTTCCTTTCATGACACAGGTAGATAAACTCCAGCCACTGGTTTTGCCTAGCAGTTTACAGGCAAGGCTCAGCAGGACTAAGTTTTCATGATCTGTATTCCATTCTCTGTTTCTTGACATTTATGCATGGTTAAGTGTTGCTGTGATTTTTTTTTATATGCTGGGTTTTTGGCATTTGTTTCATTGTCTTCTCTTGATCCTCTTGCAAAGCATATCTGGTTGTGAATTTAATGTGCATTTGTTCAGTAGTGAACAAGACTGGAGTTATGATGCCCAATGGGCCTTCTTTATTGCAAAAGAAGAGAAGATGAATTTCCCCAGTTGCTCTGTGTATTTACAGACAGTTCCTGATAACTGGGGGTTTCATCAAAAAAGTGGGTGTTTTTTTAAAGAATTTTGAAAGGAGCAATTTCATGGAGACGAATCTTACAGGAAAGCTTACCAAAAGGTGAGGAGGTTGACTTGTTAAAATATTAAGTTAGACTATGGTACTGCAGTGTCTTTCCCATCCTGATCTGACAGTTTGCATTAACAGAAGGGCAACGGTGACTTGTTGCTTTCTTTTTCCATCCTCTTACCCTTGTAAACTTTTACTGCAAGAAAAGCACATAGGCTGAAATAAATACAGTAAAGACAGAGACAGGAAGATTGTTCATATGAATTACAGGTCAGGATAGAATTGCACAGAGCTAAGGCAAGAATGAAATGGTTAAACATAAAGTTTGAACAGAAGTGACATGATGGAAAGATCTGGAGATAATCCATAGTCTGATAGTTTTTTCTGCTTGAAAGTACCTGGAGGAAATTATTAGATGCTGAGTATAAAATCATCCTTACAGATTAGTGTATGCATTCCTGCATTATCTGGCAGCATTATCCTGCATTATCTATGGCTCTTACTGTGCAATATGGCTGCTCTATAATATGCCATCTTCCTTGGGAGCAGTTGCATAAGTGTCCCTGTTGCTGATGTTTTCTTCCAAGCAGCAAGAGATTCTCCTCACTCGTCTCTTCTGCCAACCAGTCCCTGGATTTATTCCTGTGTTACACATAGGAGTCTTGTTACACATAGGTTTAGCATTCAGATTACTTCATAGCATAACTTCTAATGTTTGGGGCATTGGAATTATGTTTCTCATTCTTATCAGCCTCTTCTACAGTTATCTCCCAAGCTGCTTGCTGAATTATGTTGCCATCAGTAATTCATGCTACTGTTGTTGCTAAGTTATTATAATTTTAGCTTCCTCAAAAACTTTTATTCTGTTGCAAATGGTATTTTTGCTCCAGAGTCAGCTGCATTTCCTTTGCTGAAAAGTGCTGATTAGGAGTCATTGCAGCTTACGTACACAGGTATGTGGCAAGCCACAGTAGGCTCAGCAGGCAGGGAGATCAAGCTGGGATTTGGTCCCTACAGTAAAAGAAATTAAGGGAGGCTTGGTGTTGGGGGCCTGACTACAGGAAGGTAAAAACAGCAGATTTGAAGGATTGAGACAATAGAAGGAATGATCTTGGGATTACTGGCATGCATGGTAGGAAAAGAAGTGTTGAGGGAAAGCACAGCTCTGCTTACAGATGTGCCAGCTAAGGAAAAGCAAGGCAGAAACTTTTTAATTTTAAAGTCTGGAACGGGACATACACAAGGGTTCATTTTTTGCTATGGATCTGGATTGAGTATCTCCTATTAAATGGTCATTTTCAATGATTAAATATTTTAGAGTCATAAAATAGTTAGGGCTGCAAAGGACCTTAAGATCACCTAGTTCCAACCTGTCTGCCATGGGCAGGGATGCCTCACACAAGACCATGTTGCCCTAGGCTCTTTCCAGCCTGGCCTTGACACTGCCAGGAATGGAGCATTTACCACTTCTTTGGACAACTGGTTCCAACACCTCACCTCCCTCACAGTATAGAACTTCTTCATTTTATCTAACCTGAACTTCCCCTGTTTTAAGTGTAAACCCATTCCCCCTTGTCCTGTCACTACAGCCTCTGATGAAGTGTACAGTCCCTGATGAAGAGAAGTCCTGAAGTGACCTGAACAGGAGAGAAGAGAAATACATTTTGCAACACTATATTTTTTGACATTCAGAAATTAACAAAAAAATGTAATATCTACATTGGATTACACCACCTGCTGTTAAGGCAGGAAGGGGAGCTGGCAGGTTGGCACTGGGAGGAAGCATGCTGTTCCACTTCATTTATTTGTGTCCCAACCATAGCTAAACTTTGTCACTTTCAGAAAAAGGAAATAAAAGCAAAAACTAAGCAAGAAAAAATCCAACAAACAAGCAAAAAAGTGCATCTTTTTTTTCTGTCTTGATGGCCAGACACTTTGCCCATGATCTAATAAGCTCCAATAATGATTGTTCCAATATTCTCTTCACCAGTCCTTTTGAGAGCATGCTGTTTGCAGTACATTGAGTGCTGTCACCATTATTATTTTGCCTCATGTTTTGTTTTATCAGAATGTTGTTACTGCTTTTTTAAATCAAGCATGTCAATTTCAAGTGTTTGATTCTTTGGTTCAGGACGCTGTAGTACTGTTGTCCCCTTTTCATCAATAGTAATCTCTTCTAAATGCGTGGAGCCAGAGAAGATAAGAGACAATTTTGAAAAGGTGGGGAAGAAGAGACAAGATGAAGTGGTACTCAGAGGTACATGGAACATTGGGTGATGAGCTGATATCAGTATATTGGCTTTTATTAAGGTAGTGACCTAGTGCTCTGGCTTGGCGGGAGACAGCAGCCCTGCCCCAAGCAGAAAGGGTACTGTGGTAGGAGAGTGTGTGTTGAGGCATCTGTCTGTGCAAGAAAAGTCTTTAGGAACCTGTTACTTCACCCATCTTTCTTTCCAAAGGCAAATTCAAATGTGTGTAAAGGTTCTTGAAAGATTTGCTTCACTGCTTCTTAAAATTCTCCATCAAAATGTTTCAACACCTTCTTGGACTTGAAGCTGGGGTGAGATCAGTGTTTAAATATGCTTAGGGTGAAAAAGTTTTTTCCTAATGTTCTAGCATGAGTTTTTTCTTATTGCAGTTTAAACCCGTAAGTACCTGGGTTTTGGCCACTGGCTCTGGAGAGTGTACTGCTATTTTGTAAGTACCTCTTGCCTGTTTGATGATACCTTCTCACAGTCTACTCCTAGTGAAGATATCTACCAGATATCATTCAGATAATTCTGTTGCTTTCTCCTGTACATTTAATTAACCCACATCTTCTTTGAAAGGTGATGCCCCAAATCAGACATTTTTGATCATTCAGTGTGTTTATGAAAAATATTGACCAGTGTGTGTGACCTGGAATAAAGCCCTTTACTCATTAGATCTTTCCATTTTGGCAGTTGACTGCTCTGTGGTCTTTTTCCAATGAGATTCACGTCCAGGTTACAGTTCTTTCATCTACTGTGTATTTCCATCTGTCGTGAGTACGCCATGGGAGACCAATTTAGTAAGAATTACCGAAGTTAAATGAAAAGCTGATGATATTTGATGACCGTTTCCTGTTTTCAAGGACACTTACTCTGTCATGGAAAAACATTGATTTGGCAAACATTGTCCGTGGCTCATTTCTGTTGTTCTTCAGGTGGTTACAGTACTTGGCTTTGTATTTGTTCCAGAGTGTATTCTGCAAGCTAAAACAACGTGAGAAGTCAGTAGTTACATAGGTATAATTTCATACCTTTTTAAGGATCATACTTACAATTCTTGTAATGTCTCTTTTAAATCCCATGCTGGTTTTCTCTCATTCTGTTTTTGTAACTTTACTTCTGAATATTTTAACCCTCATTAACAGTTTGTCCCAGTTTTCACTTCTGTAGATTTCCTTCTGCATTTTAGGCTATTGAGGAGCTCTTACATTTTAGCCATATTGGTCTTTTACTGCAGTCTGCTCTTTCTCTTCACTGAGATATCTTATGCTTGTTTCTTTAACATAACTTTTTTAAGGAACTGACAATTCTCCTAACTCCAACTTCCTGTTGAATTGTTTCTTCTTGTAGCCTACTTACTAAGTCCCATGAGTTTACTGAAATCTGCTGCATTGAAGTCACATTTTTCTCTTTTACTTCACAAAATTCACAAAATTACTCTGTTGTCATATTAAGATCACTTGTCATCATCTTTTTCAACCAGTTTCTTTTCTCCTGTTTGATACAAATCTGGAAGTCTTCCTTTCCATTGCTTTCTCTACTTTTTCATAAAAAAAAAAAGTCACCAGTTCCTCTATAGTCCATTCCCAAGGAGTATTTGTATACTGAAATCCCCTACCGTGATCTAGTCCTTCGCTTTATACAGTGTTGCTAGTTGCTGCAGTAAAGCATTGTTCACCTGACCATCTTGGCTTAATTATCCATGGCAATTCCTGATCAGGTTAATGCTCAGGTTGACTTTGCTTTGATTGTTAACCATGTGTTTTCCATAGTTTTAGAATATGCATCCACTCTTGAGGTAGCAGGCACTTGAGCACTGTTCAACTGGCCAGACCTTTCTATAGATGCAGTAGCTCTATGTTAACTTCATTGCCCTGTGCAGTATTGCACGAAGTGTCAACTAGAACAGCTAAGTCATCATTTTAATAATAAATCAAACCTTCAGACTTTTTCTAATTATTTCTCTTACATCTTTTGGTAGTACATAACAAACTATCTGTGATTACTTATGCTCTAGACCCACAGCAATGCAAAACCATAGGCTCCTGTAATTCACCTCTACGTTCACCCTTCCATTCTGTTTCCTGTGCCTCACCTTCTAAGATGCATTTCACATAGTAAGATATCACCTTTAGCTCATTCTCACATTCTTCTTTATTTTGTTCTTAAGACTTCTGTCCTAAATGGAGCAAGTCTGTGATTGGCTGTTCATGGGTAGAAGAACAGGGAAGAATCATTTATTTATTTATCTGTTTATTAGCTTGCTCCTGATGGTGATTCTGCATGGTCATACCTTATGTAATTTTCCAGTTCTCAAGATGTTAAGATTTAGAGGTACATCAGGCATTTCTTCAGTTTAAGCTGTAGAGGTACAAGAGGCAGCTCACTGTTGGGGAAGAGTGAGGGAAGTTCTTCAGGTGAGAGGTGATATGGAGCAGAAGTCCATTGTGGTGCTTTGAATTTGCCTCTCCTTTGAAAAGCACTCTCAGCTGGCTCTGGGGCAAAGGGATCTCCTTCAGCAGCAGTTAAGCTTTGCAGTTGTTGCCTTTCTGCCTTTCCTGTCCACTCACATGTACTCTCAGTATTGTTGGACTTCTGTGGAGACCTCTGGGGCTGAGTATATCCCAGGAGGGGGAAATCTGCAGACAAAATATTGAATTTGTCAGGTGGAACTGCTTTTGAACTTGTTGGGTGGAACCATTAACTTAAGTTATGAGAACCATAACTTAAGTTAATGGTTAATCTCACTGAAAATACCTGCTCTGCACTCAAAATCCATGACCTGTCCAGAATAACAAGTTGGTTTAGTGGTTAAAATAACCGGGGGGGGGGGGGGGGGGGGGAGGAATGGGCACCTTTGGAAGCTCCAATGAAATTTGATGGTCACAGGTTTCCTAAAGTTCACGTATTACTTTTTTTTTTCTTTCCCTCCTCCCTCCCCATCTCCACTAAGTCTTCCATCCTGTGGAATGTTCATACTGCCGATGTGAGAGCATGATGGGCTTCCGGTACCGATGCCAGCAGTGCCACAACTACCAGCTCTGTCAAAACTGTTTTTGGCGCGGCCATGCAAATGGTCCTCATAGCAACCAGCATCAGATGAAGGAGCATTCATCTTGGGTAATTCACCTTTCTTTGTCATGCTGAACCAACCGCATCTGTACTAACTTACTCTGAAAGTTAATGTTTTAGTAGAACTGCACAGCAGAACTTGTAAACGTTTTTAAATACAGAAAGCATATGAATAGGTAAAACTGCACTGGTTTTATTACAGGTAACATTAATTTATTGATGGTTTTCATGGTATTCGAAGTGCTGTTCAATGTACACAAGACAGCACCATCCTCCTCAGGGCCTTAACATGTGCTCACTTCCCCTCTGCACAGCAGCCCCACTTTTCTTATATTTTCCTCTCTTCTACCTTAAGAAGACTTAAGGTTGCTATACCTTTTCTCCCCAGAAAGGTAAAGCAGTTAGCATGAATGGTGTGCTACAAAAGGAACTTTATCCAAGTGACATCTTTAAATATAGTATTTCTTCAGGAGAAAAATTCAGTGTTGTCATTGTCCTGACAACTGCAAATATATGCATTGAAGACTTAACTAAAAAGCCTTAAAGAAATTATATGAGAAATAATATTCGGTTGGATGACTATGTGATAATCACATCTCAAGAAATAGACAGTTTTAGATATAAACCCCTATTTTATGGTGCAAGATTAAGCCCAACCTTTTACTAATTCAAAGAGAAGTTCAAATGATGATTGGATTATAATTAGTAATTATCTTCATGAGGAAGAGTCATTATAGTATTACTGTTTAATTTAGAAAATTGAGGCTTAGTACTATTCAGTAGTTGGAAGGCAAAGATAGGAAAATTTAGTCTTAAATATTGTCCCTTTTAAACTGCATGGGTAATAAACTTCTGGAATGCTTAATCTTAACTACCAGTAGATCATTATCCCCTAAAGTACATATAAATCCAGTCTGTATGTTTTAATACAAAGACCTATCTAAATAGTAGCTCCAACTCTAATACAGAGATTTCTTTCTGAAGGCCTGGATTTGCCGCAAGTCAGGCTGGATGGACATGCCCCATTCTGGTACTGGGAGCTGTGAACCTGCTGTCCTGCTTTGTTTCAGTGCTAACTTTTGAGGCATTTGATTCTTTATAGGCTGTACAGAATGAGTTGATTTTAAGCTCTAATGTGAATTGGAGGAGTGAGAAGTTACATAAATGGAAAAGAAGGATATGCAGACTTCTGTCACTCTTCTGGTAAATTAAACAGTGCAGGTTGTTGTGTGATTGGAATCTCTGGACTGTCAGAACAGTCCCTAGCATTAGCGTGGACTAAGCAGCTCCCAAGGTAAGGATTAAGAGTAGCTCAGGTGAGGAACCATGCCTGCTAGACACCCTGGGGTGCAGCCACCTTGCTTTGGAGATCAGGAATTCACATTATCTGCCATCAGGACCAGGTAGTGGCTCTTGGAGCAGTTTCCTTCCATACTCTTCCTGTAGCAGGAGAAGGGGGAGTTACACATATAGAAGCAACACTTAACAAAATGCAGAACTGGAAGCCAAATTACTGGAAACAGCAGATGATACCGGGGATTTTGCAGAACAAAAGGAAAGGGTGTATGTAAGAAACTAATGATAGTTGGTAACCTTGAAAGAGGCTAGATTTTAATAGCCAATAAAAATATTGATACATTTGGTATTGAAAACAATTGGTCCAAAAGTCTGTGGAAAGAAATTTAGCAGCAGCAGCAAATTTGGCTGTTTTGTACAGGAACAATATGCAGCTCCTTCTAGTAAGACATTTCAGCAGTAGGTGAAATGGAAGGAACACTTTTCAAAGATGTGCTTGTGTAAATCTGCCTGTAGGAGGTTTGTATAGCACAACTACAGAGTTACGCCAGAACATGAGCCAAAAGAATAAAAGATACAAAGAGTGAAGGAGATATTTACATTTCTTGTTCAGCGTAGGCAGAATCCAAATCAAAGATGACATTTAGAAGCTAAAGGTTGTATCCAGGTGAAGCAAAGATGAAAGATGGAAATTGAGGACAAAAATGGAGGAGTTTTAATGAAATCTATCAGCTGGTGAGCTTGGGGAATCCCAAGTGTCTTCTTCATGTCAGTCTTCAGTAGGACACTTCTGCCTTCACTAGCTGGTGACTAGTACTCCCTGGGAGAAGGGCAGAGCTGAACCTGATAATAAAATGAAGAACACCCAGCAAAGGAAATGCATTTGAAGGCATCTGTTCTGGATGTTTTAAAAAAAAAGATGCAGTTCAGTACAAAAATGGCAAAGGTCTCAGGTGGGACTAAGCAGACACAAAGTTTTTTGAAGGATGCACAGCTGAGGAGCAGCTCTGCAGAAAACAGGTTGAATGAATGCAGCTGGAACTTGCATCAGCAGCATTGAACTTGTGGAAGAGCTATATTGGTGTCTAGAAAGGGAGATGTAACTGCAAATTATGCATCGTATCTTGGCATTGGTGCAGCCTCATGTGAAATAGCATGACCTACTTGCATGTTTGCTCAACACTAGTATCTCACATGAAGCCCCAAAGACCCCTGCTGAGCAAAACTGAACATTATGGCTGATACTATAAAAAAAGAAGTTTATTTTTCCTGGGATTTCAATTCTGTCAGATCTAGTGCCATCTTGTACGATGTGTTTTCAGAGTTTTGGAGCCCTAAGACCCAGAATAAGCACTAATAATAACTATTTTCGTAAGGTTCTTTTTCCTGAAATTCAAAAGTGCCTTTGATAATTTTCTATACTATAAATCACATAGTATAGTGCTATATATATATATATCTTTAAAAGTATATATAAATATATATATTACTATAGTAATTATATAAGGTCAGGTAGAAACCTTGTTTAGAAGGAGAGGTTTTGCTGCATGAGCACACTGCTTGTTGGGGCCTGTTTGGGGGGGGAAAGAAAAAAACTTCACATTTTCCTTCTGGGCTGTTTCAATTTTGTTTTATTAAATAGCCTTAAACACTGATTCATTTAGTTATGTACATGCAGCAGAACAGAAAATCAAATTGTTCATCTTGAAAGCATGTAGATTAGTCATTGTTCATTCTGTTTGTTTATTTTTGTAATCTGCTAAGCTTAAGCAGTCTTTGTCATCTATAAATTTCAGGTAAAATGTTTAACCAGCCAAGTTACCCTCGAGGCTTCTACCCTTGGGTGTACGGTTTGATGGCTTATTATCAAGGGTAGTTGACTTAGACTGTTCTTCCTGCTATAAATAATGGAATGTTTGTTATTTATAGCCACCCTTAACATGTTGGAGTGTGTATCAACAAACCAACCCAACGTTTAGTTGTTTCTATAGTGATAATATCTATGGCTTCCGTTGAGAAGTCATTACACCCGGTACTAATCAAATCTACAACAAAAGACAGACCCTTTTATCTAGCGAGGTAAAGGCTAGCAATACTGTAAGTAGCTGTTAATAAGATTTTGCTCTCAGAATTACATCTCTTGTATTTCTGGTTCATTTAATTTCCCATTTAAACTACCTTAAAGTTATTAAAACTTTTTGAACATGTTTTTATTCAGTCCCTCATAAACAAGATGAGAAGGAACACAGCGTTAAACAGTGTGCTCTGTGTTCCGGTCATATTGCTGTCTGTGGGGGAACTTCCACCATCACATGAGCTCCTGTTTTCAAGCTCTGTGAAAAAAACCTGTTATAATTCCACATTTTCCAGCAGAGGGCATGCTGCCCCCGCGCACACAGAACAGCCCCGGACATCTGAGGCTACCACGTACTTGTTCTGCCAGAGCAGGAGGCAGGTGTGCGCACCTCAGCTTCCTCCAGCCTGGTCTAGTGGAAGGTGTCCCTGCCCATAGCAGGAGGGTGGAACTGGCTGACCTTTAAGGTCCCTTGCTACAAACCATTTTGTAATTCTATGATTCTAAGATACTGGAGGAAAAGAGGGGGAAGAGAGAGAGAAACAGGTAACTTTAAAACTCCAGTTTTCAAGCAAATGTTCTTGCCAACCAAGTTTTAATTAATTTTTTTATTACTTATGAATTTCTAAACCCATTGTAACAATTGCTTACTAGACCCTTTTGGTAGAGGTGGACATGATTTATGCATAGGCAATTAGAAGAAGTTAGGCAACTTTTGATAATGTAGTTTGTAGTTTCCAGCTTTTTAATTCATGATGGAAGAAGTATTTTTTTAAGAGATGTATCCTTTGGTAGGAAAGCAAGGGGACAGACAAGATCTGTAAACCATTCTGAAATGAGAGGGATCTGGCAACCCACAGTACAGGTGCAAGAGGATTTCAAACACATGAAAAATCACAGTTGCATTTTAGTGATAATTTCTCATGACTTTTGCGTGTAGAGAACAGTTTTGAGGGATATCTGTCAATAACATCTTAGCAGAAGGGGCCAGTCCATTTTTCATTTGGTGCACATACCTTTGTGTGGATCATGTCAGCTCCGAGAGTGATGCTCGTCTGGATGCAGGCACAGCTCAGGTTTGTCTAAACTTAAGGTTAAGAACATACATACTCACCACTTGCCATGTGTGTTTTATGGGAGGTCTCAGTGTAGTATGTTACTGATCTCCCAGGACAGTAAGCTGATAAAAATAATGATTGCTTATTAAACAAAGTGTAGAATTCAGGACAGTGCTTGCCTGATGTACTAATGATACGTTAACTAAAATAACCAACTCCGAGTGCTTGGTTTGCATTTCATTCTGAGGCTGAGTGCCATAAGAAGAGTGCTTCAGTGGTTAATAGGAAAGGTATTTTAACCTTATTTGTACTCTAAAAGTGGAATGTGAAAGCGCCTGAAGAGTACACTGCAGAGCCAGGGTCTTCAACTTTTTACGTTGCAAAAGGGAACAAACATTCCAGCCTTTCTGAAGTATTTATTTTACTTTTTTTGAGCTTCCTTGGACCTGGAGAAGCCAGATATTGTTGCTGGTAGGTAGACACTGTTTGGGATCATGACAACTCTTTGTGAGTGTTGCTACTTGGGAACCTCAGTAGCGCTGCTGAGGAATGTGGTTCTGCAGCTCACTGCTGTGGTAGCTGTGGAAGGCGTGTGTACCAACAAGCACTGTGCCTGCAGA